GGGGGGTAAGAGAGAGAGAGAGAGAGAGAGAGAGGGAGACAGAGAGAGAAAGAGAGAGAGGGGGGAAAAAGGAGATATGGTGAGAGTTGAAGAGATATAGACAGGCTACAGAGGGGTAGAGACAGAGCGATTAAAAGAAGGGAGAGGAAGAGATAGAGAGAGAGAGAAAGTAATGAAGAGAGTCTGTTAAAGATAAATTGTATACAGGGACAGAGAGCGGGAAATGGGTGACAGAGAAAGGGCAGAGATACATAGAGAGTGGAAGAGAGAGAGAAAGATCGAGATGGAAAGCAGAGAGAGAGAGAGAGAGAAAGGTGTCAGGGGGGGGGGGGGGGGGGGGGAGAGAGAGAGACAGAGAGAGAGAGAGAGAAGAGAGAGAGAAATGTGTACAGAGGTAGACGGTGGGGGCAGGGAGGGAGAATGGGAGAGGGAATAGAGAAGCGACGAGCGAATCTTCGATGCAATTAAGAGAGGAAGTGAGGGAGCTATGCGTGTTGCTACTTCACTTTGTTATTCGGCTGACACATCACCGATGTCTTAAACTATTCTAATGAGTCTATTAGCCAGTCCCATCTCCTGCAATCATTACTCTTACACCCTTGCCCGGGCCTTCGCCTAATAACTAACCATGGAAACTGTTTAAGATGCAGAGTTCTGTTGTCTGAATTCCATCAAACACAGTCGTAAAGATCGACTTCCAAAAATCAACCTAAAGCAATTCAATATGTCCATCACCATGCTATTTCACGTTATCAGAACATTATTCTTAAGGCAGTACAACAGGGTACTGAAAATGCCCTTGGTGTGATTTCTCGAAAGTGTTTGAGATCATTTTTGTTGTTGTCCCTTTTCTTTTTTTTAAAGAAAGACCGTTCCATTTATTCTCCATATTTTCCTCTCTCTCTCTTTTCACCCCTTTTTCTATTAGTTCTCATGACATTTTGTACGATGTAATTATGTTATTCGTCTGCTCATTAGCAGTTAAGCAGGGTGTTAAGTCTGTATAAATATGGAAAAAGTGAAGGAGTTTTAAAATGCATAATGCCCTTCTGGCTCTCAACACACTACAATACGTTTGTGATTGTGTTGTGCATTATTTGTTTGTTTTTCAAATACGGAATCCGCATCATTTTTTGGGGCGGCTTGTTATTTTATTTTTCATAAACAATCGCGATTTCACTTTAATTTTTTGAATATTTCATTTTATATACACGTTAATTAAAACATCCTGTTAAAAACTCTTGCTCTCTTTCTCTCTCTCTCTCTCTCTGTCTCTCTCTGTCTCTGTCTCTCTCTTTCTCTATCCGTCTTTCTTTCTTTCTTTTTCTCTGTATCTCTCTCTCTCTCTCTCTCTCTCTCTCTCTCTTCCTTTCTTTCCTTTCCTCTATCTAATTATTTCAGCTATCTTCTTCACCCCCCCCCTTTTCCCACCCATTCTTTCTATCACTTTTGTTTTCATCACGTTTATCGCGACCCCGCTTGTACACCTATATAGTGGGGAATCATAATTTTGATTTAGGTTTTAAAAAGAATGTTTAAAAAAAATGTTTAAAAAACTTTAAGACTATCATCAATATTAAAACTACCATTGACCATTTCATATTATATCATTCTGCTCAAAATCTTCACTTCCTTTTTCCTTAAACACAATCTATTAAAAAGAAAGAAAAGTTGGGGAAAAGGGAGAAAAAGAAATCCACTTAAGAAAGAACTCTTCTTAAAAGCCCAGCTCATGCTGAATACCGTTAATCTATTCCGACAGTTTACAATAGAGCGGGCTCTTTCATGAACAGGAAAGGGGTCTTTATGTTCCCTAAGCTACACGATAAAAATAGGTATAGAGGGATGTCACAATAAACGGATCAATACTTAAGTGGGACATCACCCAGATAAACACCCAAATGTGGTGACATGAAAACACATTCAACGATTTAAATTGAATAGGAGAACAGTGTAAAGGGTGTTCGAAGGAGAGGACGAGCGGCAGAAAGATACAGAAGCCGAGTCATTCTTATTTTAATAAAGAGCGAAAGTGCTTAATGTTTAATAGCTTCGGGTGCATCAATGGGCCATTGTGTGCTCAATCGCTCAGGGGTAACACTTTCCACAAAGGCAAGCTTTTGCGATCAAGGCGCTTAAACACGCTAGGGGATCTCTGCCGAAAAGCGAAGGTTTAAGGAAGCCCTACATCTATTGTGCCACTGTCCCGCCGGAAAAAAAAGAGGACCAGACAATCGGCTTATTATAGCCTCTATTAATGGACGCCGCTTGCAACCGATCGATCAAATCAGGCGATATTAGAGAAAAGTAGGAGAGGGGAAAAGAATGATTCGGTGAGGCAGCTTAGGTCCCCCATCTTAACCACTTATTCCCACTCGAGTGTTTAAAATCGTACGAAAATCAAACATCCCCTGCGGTAGATGACAGGTCCAAAATGGTGAAGTAATCAGTGTTTGCTCTTCTGAATATGATCCTAAGAAATTCTTTATCCCTCTTGTTTACACCCCCTGGAAAACGAGAAAAGACTGTCTTCCGAGGACTTTTAGCGGTGGGGTGTATCTACCTGACCAGTAATGACGCAAATATTTTGTGTTTGAAGAGCTATTAGCAAGGTACTTTGTTTTTCGATCCCACCTCTCATTTGCTCTCTCCCTGTCTCCCTGCGGAGTCAGCTTGTTGCGAAATCGAAGAGCTTTGAACGATCGAGTAATTATCTGCGATCGATTGTTTGGAGTACCGGCGGCTGTTGAGGCCCCTAATTTCACATTCATGTCACATGAGCCAATGACGTCATTACCCACTCAAATTGTCAACGAAGGAAGGAAAGTTGCAGGGAAAAGGGGGGGGGGGCGACATCCTTGATCTCTGACTGATTTTTAAAATATTATTTGTATGATTTTTTTTTACCGAATTAAGCATATATTTTATTTTTTCCTAACTTAACACAACAAATCGTACATTGCGTTCTATTTTCATCCATGTATTTCTAGTTTCACGTAATATCCTTCTTCCTCCTCTTTTACATTTTCTATGACGTCATATTCTAACATAAATATTCCCTCTGCAAATATACCAATCCCTTTCTCCACACACTATAGATATCATTTATGATAACGTATATACATTTTTATTTTCACTCGTCATGCTTACCTTTTCACCTAATGGTCATAAATAATTACCTTCTCCATTAAAACAATGTTGTTTGCATCATCATCATCATCATCATCATCATCATCAACATCATCATCATCTACCTCTCTCTTTTTCTGTGTATATGTCTACATGCATACATATTGAAGGGTTCGCATGTATATGTTTCTCTGTCTCTGTCTCATATAAATTATATATTTTCTACCAACATTTTCCCACAGTTAAGTAGTATACATACAGAAAAGAACAGTATCTTACACGAAAAGACCAATATGTTATTTAGATGACTGTAAAGACACAAGTTGTTTACATCGTGATCATATTATACTTTTTGCGAGATTCGTCATGATTATACAGAACCAATTCGTAAACAAATACTGAATAAAAATAGTGACAATAACTGCAATCTCGCTTCCATTTTTTCTGCATGTGGAGACGTCATTGTAAAAATACTTTGCGAGATTCATCATATGCAGAACCCACGTGTAAAAAGCACTGAATAAAACAAGTGACGATAGCTAAAATCTCGCTTCTATCTTTGGAAGGATCAAGACGTTAGTGTAATAACACATGTCACCCACTGTTTTCTCTGTTTACTCTCATATCAATGTACCTCTTGATCGATTGCTCTTGCTATAATTCATTCACCGAACAAAATGGCTGTTTACACGAGTCAAAAAGAGGCAAATTTAAACGCCATGTATCATTAACGAGCTGGTATCATTACACCGCGATCACAGTCGTGTGCCACTTGCTCTCTGCCCGCTCTATCAGCGGCGGCCTGACGGCGGCGCCCCGGCGTAAGATGGCGCCTATGGGCACGCTTCGCATTCGACCGTTACCGACTCGTGCATACGAGGAAAGCAAGCCGCCAGGGTATAACAAACACATTGATACATGCACGAAGGATATTATTACGTACCAGTACTAATGTTTTGTAAAGTGTGCGTGTTGGTGTCTGTCTCACCCCCCCCCCCCCAAACCCTCTCTTCCTCTCTCCCAATCTCTCTCTCTCTCTCTCTCTTTGTCTCTTCCCTTCTTTCAGTTGTGCATTACTTAAAGCAAATAAAACATAAACAAGTCTTGTTAACAAAGTGCAATAATATAACGATATTCTTTTTTCTTCACACGATTGCACTGTAGTATGTTTGGGGAGGATTATAAAACGTACCGTTAGAATACCGTAAGCCGTGTTTTCATTAATATACCACCTATAGCATGAGAATACACTTTGGAAAGTCAAAGAAGAGAACTTTGTGCCCATTAGCGAACGCTCTTTAAAAAGTGCAAAACATGAGAATAATCATCTGTCCGAACTACTTTTGGTTAGCAGGTCATTTCTTTCCTACCCCCCCCCCTCAAATTGTTAAGAAAAGGTGATCGTGATTGGGCTTAACATTGCCTAAAATTGGTCGGGCACATAACTGCCCTCATCGTCCACATGTTTTGGGTATCATATCCTTATCATGTCCTTATTTGAAATTTTAATACTATTTTGTTGATTAAAATATATCACATATTAAATATATATTTGATTGAATGGTCAGGATTCTAGAGATCATCGACAACCACTACATCTCTCACTTTCAAACTTTGATACATTTTCTAAGATTCTTATTACAAACTTATTAAAAATTTGACCCCCCCCCCCCCGTAAACGTTTACGGAAAACCAGAAGGGCGTTAACTCATATACCTTTATCACGGTTAACCCCTGACAAATATCATCTTGTGCAAGATGCACTGGCAGTATGCATCATTATTGACGATTTTATATTTTTAAACAAATGGTTTGATAATGGTTTGTATTACACATTTTTAATTTACAATGTTACCATTTTATTTTATAAGGAAACGACAGCGACATATCGGATTGCAAATCGGACACCAGCTCCATCTCGAAACGAAAATTACCCGTGGACGACGACGATGACGACTCGTCCTCGCAAAATCCAGGGGACAAGGAAAAGAAGAAGAAGGCGCGGACGACATTCAGCGGTCGGCAGATCTTTGAACTGGAAAAGCAGTTCGAGGTGAAGAAGTACCTGTCGGCAAGTGAGAGGGCCGAGTTAGCTTCCCTACTGAACGTCACCGACACGCAGGTATTGATAACTTCTATATTAATTTACGTTTGGTACCCCCGGTCACACCGATGAGACCGAAACCAGTCCGATAATAGGCCGACAACAGGCCGACAACAGGCCGACCAAAAATAATTTACCCCTAAACGGCCCAAAAATTTCGATTGAAGATCGGTTAGGAGTCGGGTTGTCGGCGTGACTGGGGTATGATTAACACGATCGCAAAAAGCTTTCAAGAAATAGATTTTAATACCTTATTTATTATGTTGATTAAAAAATAATCAAATTTGGACAACATAATATTTCATTGTAAATTTCGCACATTTCAGTAAGTGATGAAGGCTGAAGATTGCATTAAGGTAGTTTTATTCGAAAATCCTAGTGATCGTGCTGAACTTCGGGATGGGGATATTAAAGACGAACACTTCTACACTTGACAACATTTTGACAGTCATTTAAAATCACGATTTTACGCAAAACTATAAACGTGTTATGTTACTGCTTCCATGGCTACGTATATAGAAGTAATGACACGTCCCCGTCCATTTAAAACATAATTATTGTGTATCATTAAACTTTGATAATAATTTTGTGGAATACAGTGATGTTGCAGTTTCTTGATTTCATCTCATTAATATATTCTTAATGCAGAGAGAAAGATAGATACTATATGAGGCATTCCGTTTCTATTTTAAGTTAAATGTCATTGACATTTAACCTGATACGAGTGCACTTCTTGAAATTTCATCCTATCTATAGACTTCCATTGATTTGTGATGATAAAGAGAAAACGAAACATCGTAAAGAGAGAGAGAAACAAAATAGGTTGTGACAATTTCTCTCCACGATGAAATTTAATGAAACTAATCATACTACGACTCTGTTGCCATTTTACGGAGCGGAAATCGCATCCATTATGAGATGGTGGATGTTCTCATTTTTTCCTAGGACGCACGTGCACAATAAGTTCGCTTTAGATTGAATTTCACGGTAACGTGAGTTTGGCGCATGCGAGATGCTCAAAGAGAAAGAAGACCCAACATCGTTTGGATTTTAATATTGTCAATTTTTTTATGAGGAGGGAGTGGTGGCAGTTAACAATTTTAGAAGTTTTGTGCACGGACATGTAGGATATTATTGCAGAGGGATGGTTAGGTGTAGTTTGAAAGAGGGAAAATATAATTGAGTTATACCCTGATAAGTTAGATCGATTATTCTTTTGTTTCTATTTCGCGCAGAAATGGCAAAGACAGTTTTTCATCACCTGCATTCAAATAGTAATAATCAGTAATGAAACCAACATTATCATTCGTAATTGTAATTGGTCGAAGCAGAATTATGATAATGATTATTGTAGGTTGATATAAATTTTATTCATGCTTGTGTGATAAATAAAGCATAAAGCAAGACTGTTGTTTCGTGATCAATGCCAGTGTTCACAGTGAGCGGGTTTACCTTGGCAGAAGTGCTTCTGCGAATAATTTGGAATCTTTAGTTCGCTGATTCTGCGCATTTTGAAAACCGGAGATGCAGCGCGTGTTCAAACTCGTGGCGTATTTGGAGCGTTAAACCGCGCGCTTCAACTGAAAGATGTCATGGAAAGATAATGAAAGCTACTAGTTTTAGCTCCAGACCCAAAGTAAAGAAATTCTATCATGGGAAAAAATCTAACAAGCAATAGAATCTAAACCACACACTCAAAACTTTGTGTAATACTTGTAAATTTATACCATAATCCCTACTCTTTATTCACTGTATCCCTGTAAGAAAATTAGTTATATTAATAACATGAATTTTGCCAGATTATGGATTTAATTGAATCAAGGGAATCTAACAATAAAATCCCATTATTCCACCCCACTGCTGGAAACCTGGAACAAGTAGATTCTTCAAAACTTGGAAAATGGAACCTAACTTTTTTCTGTACATGTTAAAAAATGGTGAATAATGGTCTTCGTCACGGTTTCAGGAATTTTGTTGTGGTTTTAAAAGTTTCATTACTCGGTATTCTATCCCGATATCGATCCATGACAACATGGTGATCGCCGTCCGAAAGTACAATGTATCCTCAGTCTCCGCGTGGGAAGAAGAAGTAGGCTCAGACAAGATGTAATTTGACATGTTTCAGGAGCTTTGTTGCAAGAATCCATGTTCCCTTGAAAGGAAAGACAGGTTGAAACAAAACGAAATCAGAAAGATATCGGACGTATCAATGATCGGAGATGAGAGCCCGAAATTAATTTTGAGCCGGGACACATGCGGGCGCACCAAATTGAGTTCTCCTCGGGAGGAAATGTAAAGACATCTTTAAGCAGGCAATTATGCGTAGGGAAGCCTCAAGTACGTGGCGTTTCCTGTCATTTGTACGGATTATATCATTGGATCGTGACTTAGCAACGCAATGATGAGAGATCGCGGGAACTTCGCGCCATTGCCGATATTCACCGCCATCTTTGCTTCTTCTTAAAAGAGGTTTATACTTCTTTCTTTTTTTTAAGGAGAAGGAGGAGGAGAAAAAGAAAGAGATACGTTCTAGCGAGAAGTTGGGTGCACTTTCATCGCTCAATTTGAAGTCAATGATGTCTTAATCTCCTGAGCGATGTTCTGTTTTGAATAGTGATTAAAAGGCCCTTGTATCGCTCAAATGTAAATATCATTAGTGGTGGCTTATGGAGAGCGGAAATGGAACAGATATAGCTCTGTGTTACTGCGGTTGTGAGGTACAATTCTAAATGGCAATGATCGCGTAGCCTGACTGGTTAAAAAGCCTAGATTAGCAAGGGGATTACGAGTGATTTTTCTTAACACGCTCTCCGAGAGGAGAAGGAAAAAAAGTCATTTACCGTTCCCATGGTGTAATTACGCCTGTCTCGCCCCATCATGCCAATAATTTGTCGTCGTGCGCGTTCCCGCGAGCCAGTTTTGTGGAATGCTGAAGCTATTAGGCACACGCCACCGTTTGGCGACCAATTTGTCTTTGCTCATACTTTGATTGCGCTAAACGCCGTAATGGGCGCTCCAGGAAGCCTATTAGTTGTGTTCAGGAAATGTAGCAACTCGTCCGGCTCTTTGTTAAGCGAGGTTCGAAAGCCCGTCGGAGTTGAGACAGGAAGAGCAACATTTTACAACGACCCCATGGCTTCCCGCGCTTTCACTTCTGCAAAAATCACTTGTCATCGTCTGCACCGCAAAAGCGACGCCCTACACTTACTCTGAGGGATGGCCTGATAAACCTCGAGCGTACGCGCACGTGTCTTCAGGAACGGAAACTCTAATTTGCATTTTACTTATCGTCTTCGCGTGTTAACAAGATAATGGACTGCACGATTTTTCACCCGTTTCTGTTTTACCATATCATGTAATCCATATCTTTCTGTCTCTGTCTCTTTTCATTTTCTGACACTGCCCTTAGGTGAAAATATGGTTTCAGAATCGACGTACGAAGTGGAAGAAAACGGAGGGGATATCGAACGCCGAAGCGGCCGAGCACAAGATTGGTGGACCGAAACATATTGATACGATCAGACAAAAACAGATCGACGCTAACAAAGGAAAGCTTTGCGACGATGTTGGTCTCGTCAAGATCGACAAGGCAGACGATAAGGTGAACGACTCCCATATCCAGCTTCCAGTCAACGATGTCGTGGTGGAAAGTTCTGGAAGCGTCATGAGCTCAACGGTTGATTCAGCCATCGTCTCCGATACACGGTTCGACGTCAATGACCACGACAGGGACACTAAGAACATCGAAACTGTGGCCATGAAAGACAGCGTCTGCATAGAGCTTTGTCGTGCTCCTCTCGAAAGGTGCCATTTTCCACCCGTTGTCAAAGAGGAGGCTCAAGAAGAGTTCTCGGAAGGTATCCTCAAACCAGAAAACATTTGCCATCCTCTGGACAGACCTCTAGAAACGGACAATAGTCCTTCAGAAATATGACTGGTTTTCATCCAGAAGGAAGACTTATCACTTCACTTCTGATATGTATATTTTGTTTTTAAAATTTACACTGGATGTATATTTACTACAATTTATTGTATCATGTATTTTATCGTGTATTGTATCTTTTCGTTGCAACCCTTCCGGGAAAGAAAAAACTACTGGTAGTAAAGCTCCCTCTCTTTCGTATTGATTTGTCTTACCTTTACCTGTAAACGATTTCTTTTTTAGAAAAGATTATCATGTCCTCAGTTTTTGTTATTTCCAATAAGTATAGTATTCTTGTTAGATAAAGATGTAGCTTTGTTATGTAGGCCAGGATATATCAGAATCAAATATAAGTGCGCCGATTCTCTCTTGCTAATGCAGCAGTCCCGTTCTACTTACGCCCATCATACACTATACGATCCGATTTGGGAAGAATTAAGAATAGTATTTGATACGAACATTCGAATATGTGAAATATTAATGTCCGAGAACCTGAAGAGTGATATGATTAAGAAAATCTAAATTTCAAGGGATTTCATGCTTCCTTGGAAGAGGGAAAGCTAAATCGGCTCAGAATCGTAGTGACGTCAGACCAGTAGTCCCATTGTCTACAAAATTTCAAGCCGATTCGGGTTTTATCCTGACCAGAAGAGTTCAGTGCATCAAAATTACGGTTGTTATAGTATTCTTATATATTTTATAGATTTAAAATATAATACAATTGCCATTTCTTCGAAAATCGGATCACAGGACGATCGTCTAGTGTGCGATGGGTTTGATTTTTTCTTGCCTATGTCGTTTTAGCATTCCAAGCAAACAAAAAGATATCATTAACAAAGATAGTCTGCTTTGATATAACCTATATTTATTTATTATCTTAAGAGACACTCGAGGCTTTATGATTTATTCAATTTAGTAAATGCATTTGTACTTTGATTTTTTTTTTAAATCGCAATCAAACATTTCTTAAAGTGTTGAAAAACTTAAAGCACAGTAGGCAAAACATTGTAATGTTTTGTCTTTTAACGATGGAAGTAGTATTTATTTACGGTTTACTGTTAATTCAAGATCCATCAAGTATGCTTTTTCTTCATTTAATGCGTTATGAAATCAACCAGATCCTTGAGACAATGTATAATAATGAAAACCAGTCAACCAATTATCATTTAAAAAACATTCTAAAGACTTGCCAATTTTACATTGAAAATAAAAAGACTTTTTTCCCCCAACTGTCTCACGTCACCTCACTAAGTTTTTCAGCCCTAGCCTTTTTGGGCTTCGGCACCTCTTTAAAAGAGGATTTTGTCGAGAATAGACAGATTTCAATATGATTTCCATATAATAATTGATATACTTAAGCACAATCCATGCCTTATAATCCACACTCCTTTAAATGAACAATTATTATCGAGAAACATAGGAACGAAGATATGGAATCTTTATTTAATAAAATCGTGTTCTAAGCCTTTCATACTTTTTGATGTGTTAATGTATTCGTTATCACAATTTATCAATAGAAACGGTGTGTTTTTATTGTTATAGTTTTGACCCGATGTCTTCCCAATAATCCATCTGTCATTACAAATTGAAATAACAGCACTCACTACAGTTAACACGTTTCGTGTATAACAATTCTTTATGAAATGAATGGTGACGTTAGATGTACAATAACCTGATGCGAGCAACAAAAGTTTTTTTTTCTTGTGCCAAATTCCGTGAGTTGTCCCTTTTTTTGGTACCTTTTAATCACAACAATTGCTGCAGAATGTCCACCTCGATCTTCCCGGCTAATGACCGCTCCATATACTCTCGACTAGACATGCTTGAAACCCCATTCATCAAATCAATTAAAATCATTATTTACCCTATCTCGTCTTGTCCTTCCACAACAAAAATTCTTCCCGCCTTCAAATCGTGCGCGAAACTATTCAGAACCTAAATCTTCCTGACATGTTAAAATGATCCGATTGTTGTAGCAGAGGTTTAGGTACACTGTGGATTTTGTTTTCTAAAAGTAAATTTAATCAGTGTAACGTTGTCGTGCAAACACAAAAAGCTAAAAGTTCTTCTGGTCGCCACTCTATTTCATTGTTGACATCGTATAACAGACGTGTTGAATAGCATCGAGGCGTTGCTTGAAGAGATAATTGCTCTTAAATTAATTCAACAGGACGCAATATCATTGGTGTGTAGACACTTAAGACGACATTTGAGGGGTTTAATCGGCAGTGTTTTCCTTGGATGTCCAACTTTTGTTTACTTTCTATTTCTAGAGGCATACGAGGAGCAGTAATAGCTTTCAAAAAGTGTAGACATGATAATCGTGGACGCCTTTTGACATGGAGAAACTAATATGCTCGATCATGGACGAGGATAATTTGTGGGTTAAAAAACACAACTACCAACATTATTTAAACAGTAAGATCTAATCCAAGACTCGTACAAATATATCGGTAAATGGATACTTTATCTTTTCATTGTGGATAAAATTATGTTGAAATAAATTATTATTTTTAAAAAAATATGAAAATAAGGATATCATGCTGCTGAAAAGGTCGCTTTTAATGCATATAATGTACAAATGAAATGAAGTAGTAATATACTTGATGTTACACGATTTTGATGATGAATTTAGAACAAATTGAGGCAATGCTGATTGAATGTTGCAACAGTTTTATACATGCTTTCATTTGTAATGATCTATTTTACTGTAATGTCGCCGGCTCTCTTTGGGGTAGTGACATGGAAATCTCTTATCTGTAGTACATTGATTATAAATGCTTTTCATATGGCCTATTCTGAAGTGGCCAAAAATCAGCTTACTTCGACCACATTGAAGTAAGGGCATGTTTCTCAAAATAGAATTTTTATCAGACTATCACTCATATCATTCTCGAGTTTTACAGTTTTAGCTGATGACGTCATCCATATCGCTTTTGTTCAATAAGTATAAAATACTCTGATTTTATTTGGGTTCTTTCTATTTGAACTCTTTTTTTTAGATTGAAATGCATTACAGAAAAGAAAGCGACGATTGTAAACACCATAATGATGTATAAATATACGGAGTCCACTAGAAGTGGATAACCTATGTCAATAACGGAAAAGACTTCAGCTTAGTTTATGTTCGTTTGCAACTGAAATAGAGAGAGACAGAGAGGGGGACAAAGAGAGACAGAGAGAGAGAGAGAGGGAGAGAGCGAGACAGAGGAAAGGAGAGAGGGAAAGCGAGAGAGAGAGAGGGAGAGAGAGAGAGAGAGAGCAATGGAGAGACATTTAAGGATTGGAGAATGGGCAAACATTGAGAGCGACAAGGGAAAACAGAGAGAGAGAGAGAGAGGGGGGGGCGTGTGTGTGTTCGTGTGTTTGTTTGAGAAAAACCCAAGATGGGGAAAGGGGGACAGAGAGAGAGAGAGGGGGGGTGTGAGTGTATGTGTGTGTTTGTGTATGTGCGAAAGAAAGGGAGATAGGAGGCATAAATAATGACAACGAGAGAGAGAAATAGCGAGGTGGAAAAGGGGGCAAAGCAGAGGGGTGATGGAAAGACATGACAGAGAGAAAAACAATAGCAGAGAGGCGGAAAGAAGGGAGAACAGAAGATAACAAGGGAATAAAGACAGATTATGTGACCATGTTGAAATACAACATTAATTTGGTAGTGAGAAATACCTGTCATGCCTGTAATAACTACTTACAAGAAATAATATTCTTTGAATACACAGAGTTGTGAATAGGTCTAAACAAGGATGTTAACCTAAAAAAGAAATTAAACTGAATATCATAACAGGCGAAATAAACAAAACATTTATATGAGGGGAAAACAGAAGGGTGCCAAAAAAAAAGTTTTGTGAGAGTGAGAATCATTGGAGTTGTTATGAGGATAAATGCGCCTGGTATTTCTAATCAAAAGTTAAATAGTCCCTCTGTATATGTTGGCTTTGTTCACTCGTAGATAAGTCATCCTGCCGACGGTTCTGATAGAGAAAATTAAGACAGGTGATATTACTTACATGTTCTTACTATACTACTATCTTGAAAATAAGTTGATTATAATTCATTGATAAAGATGGGAGGATGTAAATGAATATTCATGATGATGATAATATTTTTTTTCTTTCTTTCGTCTGTGCCGCCTGTAAGCATGGTGATGTGCCCTCCCCCTGTTTCGTAGCAACCAAAGGGTTGGATTGATATAATACATACATTTTCAACATGGTTATGAACAGTATTCAATTGAGTACGATGAAATTGGTAAATTATGAATATAAATACGTGTATATCATTAATACAAAGAACATTAATGAACATTAATGAAACAATAAAAGAGAGGGGAATCGAAATGGACCAAGAAGTTAGAAAGGAGTTCCTTTGATGAATAAGTGGACATGCGGAAGAATATATTAACTCAAACATATATTCAGCAGACATAATAAAACAATTCCTTGTTACATTTCCTGGACAAATTAACTCTCATCACCATGCAACACTTACTCTTTTTGTAACGTCATGTCGGGCTTACCTAATTGCATTAAAAACATGTTGATGATATACAGTCGTGTTCGTAATTTCATATACGACCATCCCGATCGAGCTTTAAGGCGAGAATTTCAAAAAGTGAAGAAGTTGCTACCGTTTGAGAACAGTGACGTGGCGTTAATTACGTCGAGGAGTTAGACTTGCCTCGAAAATGAGATGGGGGAAATGTCGCTATCAATTTGCGCTGTGTATATTCACTGTCAACTCAAGATCCGATCCGATATATTTCAAGTTCCATCGATTTTATTCATCCTTCCCAAGTAATGTCACTTGTTAGTCCGTCATTTTCTACTTTACTCCTGTTATCATTGTTTTTATATCAGAGCGAACTTAATTGATGTTTTGTTATAAGTGAAGCCATCTCTTAAAACAGTATCGAGTAGTTTTATTTAGCATGCTGCTCGCTGTTGCATCAAGAACAAGTTGAATATGAGCTATTTTCCTTTTGATTTCCCGCCATTTCAGAGTTGCGAGCAGACGAGCTTTCTGCGCAGCCCTCCATCACCACAACTTGACTTTTTGAATTCCAAACGCGCGCGACCCATCAAGAGGTAAGAGTTTTTTCGAGACCGGAATAAATTAGACTCAAGGGGCAGCGCTGGCGGTGATATGCTAGCTTTTCTACGTCCGATTCAAATTCTAAAGACGACTTAATAGCCGCCAGGTAGTGCTTTAGACACAAGTCCTCTGCTCTAACGGATAGTTGGTCATATAACAAGCGTTTAATAAGGACAAGAGTCTCCTGCAAGTGAGCACTTTCCATCTTCCCTTGTTCTGTTTTGCTTTGAATCAAATATCAAGAAAAGCAAAAAGGGTTGGATAGCTTCCGGCCTGATTTCCATGGTGTTTAGTCGATTTGGAAACCAGCAAGGCAATAGTTATGACAGGCCATTGAATAAAAATGTGGGAATTGATATATTTAGATAATGGAATGATCGTTAGACAGGGAAGTCCCAGGGGTGCCTTCCAGCAAGCATGAGTGATTGCAAAGGCCTCTCCGCATCTTCGATCGAATAAGTGGAGGAGGGGCCACTTGTCTCTCTGATTCTTGTTTCTCTTCCCCTTCCATTATGCCTTGAAACCGTGATGCCGCTTAAGCAACCTTAAAAAGAGGCGGAAAATAGCCAAGGAGTGAAGCCTTGGAAGATGCCCCATCTACAATAGCAGCTTTGGATAAGTAAGGTACTGGAGGGAAGAAACGGAGAGAGGGAGCACAAATAAGACGGAGAGACGTGGTCGGAGGGAGGGTAAAGAAAGAATAGACAGAGACTGTTCAGGTCCATTAAGTGAATGCCCGACAAACGGTTTTTAGTGAGGCATTGTGAAGGAGGGCAAAGCATTTATTCAAGCCCGCGTCGTAAATGGGTTCTATCGGCTTGGAATTTGATCCGTAGCGGAACAGCGGCAAACGATGGGTATGCCACTCAGACAGCACTCGTGAGTGGGAAAGCGAGGGGGCAGAAAAACGGTGACATGACAGCATACAGAAGATACCTGAATATCAAAGGAGGGAGGGGGCAAACAGTGTTTGTTTGTTCATCAGGGGCGGCTCCATGGGGGGGGGGGGGCGGGGGTAGGGCCTATGCATAATGTCATGCCAGAAAAACGGTGACATTTCAGCGTACAGAAAGATACCTCAATATCAAAGGAGGGAGGGGGCAATCAGGGCATACCATGTTTGCTTGCTCTTGGGGTGGGGTGTTACGGCGGCATAATAACATGTCAGAAAAACGGTGAAATGGCAGCGTAGAGAAGATCCACAAATATCCAAGGAGGGAGGGGGCATATCGTATTTGTTTGTTCGTAGGGGCGACCTCATGGGGGACCAAGGGATTGGGGAATAGGGCTTATGTATAATGATATGCCAGACAAAATAAAGTACGATAGGGTCTGTGCACAATGTCATACATGTACCGTGACTAAAAGTGTCAGGTTCCTTCAAAATAACATTTTGACTGACAAAAAAGGATATTAATCTAAATCTAAATTGAACTTTAAAAATATAATTATAATTTATATATATAATATAATTTATATATAAGGTTAAAATTGAATCCAAAAAAATATCATAAAACTAAGCAATTTGGAAGTTTTGTAAGAAAAATGTCAAAACGTCAGTTAATATTTTGAATTTCTTGCTTATTGAACGTAATCAACAACATTTCATAAAATAAGGAAATTGTGCATAATTAGATTACCCCTATGTATTATGTTTTCAAAGAAAGGTCAATTGCTAAACTTTCCATTGCAATAAAGAAAATACTTCCCAATAACCATCGTTTGTCAAAACGTTGAAATATGAAATTAAGAAATTACAATGTTTTTTTTAGTAATAAATTCATTTCATAACAAGTTAGCCCATCAATCTTTATAGTTATAGAATAGAATCAGAAATAACATTTTGAAAACCAAGTATATTGTTGGTTAAAATTGTTGTCTACTGTTCATTTATTTCTAAAATCAAACGAGTTTGATGGGGAGATTATAGAGAGGCTATGTCATTAGTTGTAGAGAAATATCTTAATTTTGTAAAAGAAGATTGAAAGTAAGATGTAATTACAAGTAAGAAAGTCGAAGTCTGGATAAAGTAATACATAATTTATTCAACATTATATACATTTACTAAATATTGAACATCAGAATTATAAATTAAGTTTACAAATAACCAACTAACCTAATTTGCCGGCACAAACCTTTGTCAGTCGCTGTGCGTGTCTATGCTATGAGACTATATTAGGCTCTGTATTATAGCCAGATTGACACAGCCAGAAACTGACAGAGCTAGGCTCTGCTCAAGGTTTCAGGAGTTGTGATAAAGTGTCATATTAGACCCTGTGCTTGCAGACTACAACTAACCAGTGAAGGTTTTTATATTAATGCATTGCCAAATATTTAAGAACAACATTAGATGGAAGGCAGTGTCGTGGTCGAGTGGCTTGACTGGAGATGCGAAGGTTAAGGATTCGAATCCCGACACGGAACTAATATCTTTGGCAAGATATTAACCTGCACTTGCTACACTCCACCCAGGTGTTAAATGGTAACCCGGTCGGATGCGACCGTCATTGTTGGTTAAACAGTTTTTGAGCGTCAAGTAACGCCTGGCTAGAATGCACCCCAGTGAGTGGAGATTGTGCACACATTGTGAGCGGGCAAGCACTGAATCCAATGACCGGGGTAATAGTATATCTGTAAAGCGCTTAGAGACATTGCATTAAGCGCTATATATATATATATATATATATATATATATATAAGCGAAATGTTGTTATTATTATCAAAATGAAAGGTGAAAGAAGCAAGAAAGAAAACAATAACGATAAAAGGTTTGACAGAGTCAAGGAGAGACAGACAGATAGATAGACAGATAGATATATTACAGAATTGCAGAAACAGAACAAAGCAAGATCAAAGAGAAGGGGTATGATTAATGAATGATTGACGGATAATGACCGGGTGATGGGCCCGTAGTGACAGCCAAAATAAGGTCCGAATTTTATGTTTAAGTTCAACATTCATAGACAACGAGTCCATTTATTCCGAAAGCGACAGAAAATAGGTCGCG